CTCCAGATCAGTAGTTTTGAAGATTTATTGATTTAAAGCTTAAATAAAACTAATACATCATCATTAGCGGAGATCAATACATTTGGCAGCTAAGTAATTTAAAAATGAAAAATGAACTGACCCGTTAGGCAAGTAAATGTTGAAAATAGCCACCATGACTCTCCATGCAATAATAAAGATTTTGCTCAAAACGTTGCCGCACATTTTGCAATATTTGAGGAGTAATTTGAAGGCATTCATTGATAATTCTTTGTCGCAGGTCTTGTAATGATGTTGGCTGAGTAGCATAGATTTTAAATGACCCCACATAAAGAAATCCAAAGGTGATAAATCTGGCGATCTTGGGGGCCATTCAATGGCACCTCTTCTCCCAATCCATCGATCTGGAAACGTCTGATCTAAATATTGTCGAACACGTAAGGCGTAATGTGGTGGGGCACCATCCTGTTGGAACATCAACCTATTCGCAATGTACCGCCGATCATTCTGATTTTCAATTATGGCTGTTAGTGTAGGATCTATGGCGTCCTCCCGTAATTCCAAATACGGTCAAATTTCCAGGCAAGAAAAAAGGACCAACTAAATGATCGCCAAAAGTACCAGGCCAAACATTTAATTTTTGTGGCTGCCGTGTATGAACCTCATGATAAATTCTGGGATTAGAATCGGACCAATATCGGCAGTTATGACGATTTATTACGCCATTTAAGAAAAAGGAACATTCGTCGGAAAAGCAAGTGTTGAATAGAAAATGTTCATCGTTTATAATTCGTTCACTCATATCTTCACAAAATTGTAATCGGCGATCAAAATCGTCTTCATTAAGTTCTTGTACCAGGTGAATTTTATACGGATGAAAACTATGGGTCTTTCGAATTCGTTGGACAGTACGACGACTAACACCACACACAGTCTCCAATTTGCGGGTACTTAACCTAGGATCTACATAAACTTGGCCTAAAACCGCCACTTCTATTGCTTCGTTCCTTATGGGATTTTCAATGTTGCGTTTTTAATTGGCGACTGACCCAGTTTCCCAAAATTTAGCTACAAGTTTTAGAACATATTTTCGATGCACGTTACTGTTCTCATGTAGCTCATTAAATATTTCTGCTGTTCTATTAGCGCACTGATTATTTCCGAAAAATATTTCGATAATTTCAACTCTTTCTGTGTAATATACCATGGTTAATTTATGTAATAAAGCGTTACAAGTTATTTTAGCAACAAAGTTTCCAAAGATATTTCCTTATCTTTCTTCAAGAAGTAACTTTTTTGCCCCAAATAAACGCTCCAATAGCTATTTTCAACAACAAAATGATAAACAAACCATGGGCATAGTGAAGAAAAGCTTTTACTTATTAAGTAAATTCTTTTAGTCAAATTTCTTCTGAAAGTAGTACAAACTAATCTGATGTACCTATTAAAGTCTACTTTAACCTTAAATCAATAAATCTTCAAAACTACTGAACTGAAACTCATGTATTTTACATCATTATAAAGGGAATTGAAAGACCTTTAAAATAAGGTATCACTCGACCCCCCTTTCAATTTAAGATTTTAGGGTTGGTGTCACCCCCGCCCAGAGGGCTGCACGTGTTAACGTGATTTTTTGCCAAACTTTTGTCCCCCTCGAGCACAAAATCGACGGGTCATGAGCGTTTTTCAAAAAAAAAACTGAGCTGCCAGTAAATGCGTCTGTTTCGTTTTCGATGCGTCACCCTGTATACAAGATTGAAATGGCATGTTCTCTTTAACCATTACCAACAAGAGAGAGCGGCCCAATTTTTCAAGTAATTTAGGTTCTGCGATACTTCGGGAATAACAATTTCAGTTTCACCTACTTTTATTGGTTTGTAGCGCTTGTAACTATGAAGGATAATATTGGGCGTTTGTATAAGGTAAGACAGATTTTCTAGACGCGTGTCGAATTTGCATGGAATCTCGGACCATAATCATCATTTTCTTCCTTAATCTGATCCCAAATCTCCGGCTTTTGAGCGTTTCTGCATGCTTTTTGCTCTCTTTTTACCTGTATACCTTTTGCGTCATCGAGTTAACCGAGTTCATTTCATAAGTAAATACGACATTCAGTGATAAATGTGGAAAACTCTCGTCATTCCCTTCAAACTGAATGGTCCAAGCATAAATAAAAGTATTCATTTCGTCGAGTAAAAGCATATTTCTCCAATGCGATACGGAAACACGGTTACTGTTATAAGTATGCTTCGTGACTTCGTTTCGTTGACAACAAGAAGCGCTATAGGGTTGATCCCATTTCGATCGATGGTCGACGGCTGTCAACGAAGATTCGTTTCGACTCATTGGCCTCCAGGTCACCGAGGACGTGATTTAGCACGAAAATATCTTATTAAGTGCAACACCTGGTGGGAAGGCTTTTTTCAGTTCTGCAAAAATTCGATTAACAAGGTGTTATTAAACCAATTATGGGAGTGTCGTGTCCCGGTATTTGGGTTTCTGTATACGCGACTGCATCAATATAAAAATATAAAAGAAATTGCAGTTGACAGCTCTAACGTACATATGACGGGATGGGGTGCCTGCTTGATCAGTTTGCTTACATTTAGATGTTATTATCCCAGAGAAAGTACGACAAAATTTCAAACACAGAAGATACTTAATGTTGTAGCATTGTATTAGTTGTGTTATGTCAGCCGTTAATACTTTGCCCAACGTGTAATGAACAGAGTTCGAACGTGATGTAAAGTCATTCAACTCAAATCCATCTATGTGTTTGTTAGAAATTTAGCAATTAGAAACACAAACTTATAGTATCCTTACGCAAATATTAGAGGGTTTGTTTATTGTTAATTCCGGGGTTCGGCGAACCTTTCTGGAGAAAGGAGCCTTCCGCTATTATTTCTAACAACACTGAGAGTATGTTACATGTTTGCACCCCGTAAAACGTTCAGGCGAACAGAAACAGTTCCCCATTATAAAAGACCAAAGCAGACTTTGCGGCACGACCTTCCGCCTTTAGCGGCAGTGAGGTGAAGTATTCACTGACAGATTCCATTCATATTAAATCAACTATAAGTTCAGTGTGAACATTCTTTCCTATAAGTACTGTAAGAGCAAGCTTGACGGCAATTTATTCTTTTTAAAGTTAGTTCTTATATTTCACAGTACTAAACTGAGCAGTCGTGAATACTATAGCAATTGCTGGTTTCTTTGTCCGTACTGTATGTGTTTCTAGTGTAGGTTTTCCAACGAGGATCTATTAGCACTCTCAGCTCTGTTCCTTTTCCACATTGTCCGCAGTTGAGGTAACCATCATGCAATCATATTTATTATGTACTATAGGTGTTTCCGAGCAATTATGTTCCGGTCTCGTCGAAATAAATACTACTTGTAGTACCCTCGTATCTCACCAAACCCACGAGTTCAAAGTGTGCACGCAGCGAAGAAAAGCGACACATCGCCTCCTCTCGCCTCCTCTCTGGCCGCCTATACTCTCTCATTCTTGTGTCTGTTCGCATGTAACGGATGGTAATTTGAGAACCGATGTACATCGTATTAGTGTTAAAAGCCCTAACTTGAGTTGTTACATTGGAAATGCACATTTAGTTTGAACATCTACAAGTAGTATTTACTTCGACGAGACCGGAACATAATTACAAGATCAAACAAACTTACCTGTAACTGATGTTCGATCTTAATTATGTGAAGGTCTCATCGAAGTAAATAGCTCTCTCGCTCCCTATGTACCACCCAATTATTGCAACAACATGGGTTTGAAGAAAATGAGAGGCTATAGGCGGCCAGACAGGAGGAAGGTAGGGAGGCGCGGTGTGCCGCTTTCCTTCGCTGCGTGCTCGCTTTGAACTCGTGGGTTTAGTGAGATACGAGGGTACTACAAGTAGTATTTACTTCGACGAGACCTTCACATAATTAGGTTCGAACATCACTTACAGGTAGGTTCGTTTGATCATGTGATTATTTGAAGTCCAATTAGTACCCTTTGAGAGCCGTTCTCTGTATTTGGGTATGCAGTCAATTTTTTCATTATTAATAGGATAGAAATAATGATAATATTCAGTCACAAAGAAAACAACATAATTAAATAAATATAAAATAAAAACAGGCCCAATGCATTATATGTGCATGAACCAATAATTTCAAGATGTAACCGCAGAATATAAATTATAAAAAACGGCAAGAATTACACTGTGCCATGAATTTTGTGTCTTGTACAATGATTATTTTTTATTTTATGGTCGGGGTTGACAAATTTATGGCAGTGAGTGATAATGTGTAAGAAATAAAGCTGCGTGCAAATGTAGCTTATTTGCATATGATTCGTCAGTGGGATAATGTTTCGGTATCTTGAACATGGTTTTTAGAATACTTGTTTGAAAAATATCTAAATTATAGATACGTGACATGCAGCTCCCAATGCCAATATACTTATGTAAGTGAGGCTTAATCACTATATGGTATAATGTGCGAAGGTACCTTACTGTCAGTATATTCCCAAGGTACTTGAATTTTGTACTATACAAATCTAACCTTCTTTAATATATGATTGACATGGATGTCCCAACGTGAGGATCCAGTACTTTTCCAAGGTCTCTATGTTTGGCACTCTGTTTAACATTACTTGTAACCATTCATTGACTTTGTTCCTCATCACGTTTTTTGCCATCCCAGGGCAGGTTCTGGGATTATGGATGATCCACTTTCTATTCGTACTTCCTTTGTTTTATATTCGTCATTTTTAGTTACAGCAAAGCGATCCGTAAGACATTCGCTCATTCTTAAAGTCATATAAGTCACTAGCTCTGTTTCGCCTGATTGCCTAGATGCTAGACAAAATTAGGGAGCGCGAAGGGAAGAAGAGAAATCAAAGAACAGGGAGCAAAAAAGGAAATGCGCTGGCTGGAGCGGTGCTTTGGTATTGTCAACTAGAAAACGAGAAATTTTAAATTGACCTAGAAAATGAACTCTTTGTTTATGCTTGGATATTCGGTAATACTCACTTGTAGCCTTCTGAGCGGATTCACAATGGCGCAGTACCTCTCAGCAGATAGTGCAGTCAATGTGAACACAGACACTCCTATGCTGATATCCTTAACAGCTTCATTGATTTTGCAGATGATTACGCCCCAAGGCCATGATTCTAGCGTGTAGATGATGGAGGTGAATGGGACGCAGGTTAGGATGACGAGGAGGTCCGCCAAGGCTAAGGAGAAGATGTACCTGGAAAGAAATATGAAATTAGGAAATCAAGATACCACAACTGCTATGAGATTGTTGTAAAACATTATGACTAGATTTTACAGGTGTTAAATTCTACTTTCAGTTCATGGGATTCTTTATGCCTATGTTCATCGACCACGAAGAAAAAACTCTGGTACCGAAAAGAAAGAGAGCAGCAAAACATATTGCACGCTAGTATAAGGTCTCTTTGAATTAACAAAGCCAGAGCTGGAGTTTCCCGCCGTATTCAAGGAGATGTCGCGCTTGCAGTGGCGTGCAGTATGTTTCACAGCTGGTTACCAAGATGATAGTAAATTTTATATGTATCTCATACGTGACAGCGTTTCTGTCTCTCGGCGTGCTCAAGCTCACTCCTCTTTGCACTCTGGGATGCTGTTCTACACAGTCCGAAATGCCTACTTTACGTTCTAGATGTATAAATAACTGTAAAGGTATCCAAATATTGAAATACCCAAGGCAAGTATAACTTGGAAACACTTTCTGGAGAGGGTCATAATTACCTCTTATCATCATTCCTGTGCACAATTCTTAGAAGTGTATGGAGCACAATATAAAAAATGATGTCAAAAGCACCTATAAAAAATGGTTTCGAGGAGTCACAGCTAGCGCCCTCAGAAACGTTACTGTAAACCTGTTTTTCTAAATAACTACTACCTCACATGTTGGTATCCACAGAAACCAATCAACTCTCTTAGATTGCTAGGGATAACTTACACGATTTTCTTCATATTCCCTTGAGCCCTGTTGGAAAATGACTCACCGATCTCTGGAAAGCACCATTTTTAAGTTGAAGTGAATACATTTTTTCTTGACATCCATTCATAGAAATCACTAAAGAATACAATTTTTGTGCGATTTATGTTCCCCAAAAAATATTATTTTTTGAGTCAATATCATGCAGGATGTAATAATTCGGCAGCTTTTCGTTAGTGTTAGTCCGTCCCTGACCATCTTTGAAAAATAAGAATTTTACGATGTCAAAATCTTGTTGAAGTATACTGATTTCCAGAAGATTCCTTGGAAGCATATATCTTCGGAGTATTTTATTTCCCATGCCACTGGCGAGGAAGTATTTCTTGGATTGCGATGACATTTTATACAAGGTTATCACTATGCCAAAAATAAAAATGATCTGTAATTATTTATGAAAAGCAATCCAGTGGCAGCAGAGCTACGGGCAAAGAACAACAAAATAAAATGCGCCCAAACTACTTTATCTGACGTTTTGGAGACTGCTTCTCATTTTGAGATTGATTTGAGGAGTAAATAAATGGGGGGTGTGGAGTTGTAGGGGGTAAGGGAGGACGTATCTCAATTTTTTTTGGCGAAAGTACATATATTACATGCTTCTCACTTCAGTAATTCCACGTACTTACTAGTCATATCTTATGAATAGATTTCCCGGAACATTTGCTCACTTATTAAGGAACAAACGAACAAAGAGGGCAGATAACGTTGTGGCAAGGGAGGCTTGTTTGTTGCGGCATCACTCAGACATGGGCGTCCACAGATATTTTTCTGAGGGAGCCGATTATACATTGGCACGAGCGAACTATATGCTATAATAATAATAATAATGACAATAATAAAGTATTTATTGTCCAACAGTACAGATACCATTTAGAGAGCCATACCTAGTACAATGGTTTCATTTACATAGTCTAGTCATAGTGCCATGTTGTGGAAAATAAAACACAAAAAAGAGAAAGGCTCTTTAGGAAGAGATAAAAGTAACTATGTATATGATTAACAGATAATTAGAAAAAAGAATATACATATAGCTATATTATGTGATGTTCCCACATAAATATATAACAAACAAAGACTTCTAGAGAAAGGAGTAGGTAAGTCAAAGAGGTGAGCGTATAGCATTTCTTCATTCCTGAAATCCACAACAGAAGATAGATTTAAAAAGAACTTCCAATCCTATTCGCATTATTGCTCGCAAAGTTTCTTGGTGCTTTTTGCCTGTGCCCTCTTTCAGAGAAAAAAAATTATATTTGGATGTCGATCTAGGTACCAGAAAATCAATACGCGACAGCAGAACAGAACAGTCGATTTTACCATGTAGTAATTTGTATGAAAATATGATCGACGCTTGCTCTTTGCACTTCTCTAAAGAAGGGGTACCAAATCTAATTAATAATAATGAGTGGTCAAATCACTCCTATAGCATAGATATTTTAGGAATTTCTTCTGCATTTTGTCAATATTCTTGTATGTATCAGCTTCCAAGAAAATTTGAAGTGCGGAGGATGTGAAAACTTCAAAAATCTCAAATATAGCACGCAGACCTAGGCTAAATATGAAATTCCAGAAGGCAGATTCTCAAGGAGGGGCCTGGTCTTGGGGACTGGAGACTAATTGTATGAACCTATTTGAACTGATTTGACTGACTGACATACATGTTCATAGTTAACGTATTTGTAAGAGGTGATAAGTTATGCCGAAAATATTTTTTTCTTTCATGAACTGATTAGAGCGCTTCGCGGAAAGTGCAGAGTCAACCTACTTGTGCTCTATATGGATCCGAAACATTGCCATCTTATTCTGGTGCTGTATCCTATTGTCTACATTTCTCTGTCTAATAATTGAATAAAACGGCTCACGACACCGTAACTGAGCTCCCTTTATCATTTCCTCACAAGGGCTTCGTCTACTTAAAGTCGAATTTTTGCTTATGAAATATCCCCGCGGCAGCAGCATCCATGCTCACTTTGCTGGAAGAACTTCATAAATCTCCAGAGAAACCTTCAGGAATAAATATGAAAGGATATTATGCGTTACAAAGGGCGGGTTCACGGTTTTACGATGAGCTATCAGTGTTTATGGCTTGCGGTTTATCTGGTGCTAGTGAACACATTCCTTCATTCTTCCGCTATGTTACAATATACTGGATGTTTTAAAGCTTCTGTATGAGCGAAGAGCTTCGGTAATATTAATCATAAACAAAAAATGTAATATACGAGTACTATTCGTTCCTCATTTTATATTAATTATAACTATAATAATGATAATATTTAATTGGTGTTAATGTACGTTATGTGCTTACAATAAAAGATATACAGGAAGTAAAGGTTATGATAGTCATTGTTTAAATGGGTGATAGAGGGGGTTTCATATAACATGGGGGTCAAAACAGCATTTTTTAAGAGAAAAAAAAAACGGACTTACCAGTAACTGTCTCACCTGGTGCATGAAAGCTTATTGAACGTGTTAAAAAAATCTCCTTATAAATAGGGAACACAATTTTGATACATACATTGTTTTTCTTTTTAAAACCCACACTGCACTTTTTTGTATTGAAAGAAGGTGTTCAAAATGTCGTCCTCCACTTTCCACACAAGCTTCATTACGACGAACCCAGTTTCTTCTTACTCTAGGTCCTCGAAGTTGTCCATTTATTATTTCAACCGCATAAACCATCCCTTTAAGTTCTCCCCAATAAATACTCAGGACATCTTGCTGGTCATTTTCGAGGATCATGAGCTTTTCGACCGATCCAGCGATTTGGATAATGTTCATTCAAATACTGAATGATGCCTCTAAAAATGTGTGGTGGTGCCCCGTCATGAAGAAACCACAAATTCTGTCTCCGTTGTAATGGCATATTATCTAAGGTCTGTTGCAAAAGTTCTGGTAGGTTATTGGCTAGAAAGCTAAGGTATCCTTCTCCTGACAACTTTGGGGGTAACTCGAAAGGGCCAATTACCTGATTGTCAAGAATACCCCCCCAAATATCTATTTTAAAACGATGTTGGAAATGACCTTCACGAATGCTATGAGGATCTTATATTTAATATCCCGTCTCGCGTAAAAGTACATTCGTCCGTCGCTAGAATGTTTTTAAAAAAATCCGGATTTTAAATGTTTTTGTGCAAAAACCACTGACAGGATGTTAGTCTGCGTGGATAGTCTTCTGGTAACAAGGCCTGCACTCGTTGTAGATGGTAGGGATAAAGCAAATTTTCCCGTAGGATTCTCTAGACTATGGTATGCGATTGTCATACGCGGCGGCCTAATTCCCGAGTGCTGATATCTGCATTGATTTCCACGATATTTAAAATTTGTTCCTCCTGCCCTTAAGTAACCAGTCTTTCACGAGTGGGCTGAACACTTCCTGTATCTCGAAGTGTTTGGTACACAAATATCCTTCTGTCTGGGCGTACCCGATGGCGAAAGATTTGAGTTCTGACGAGCTTCACCGTAAACTAGCAACATGTCGGCGAACTCTTGATTTGAGAACATTGTAAATAAACACGACGACGTACGCGAACAAAAAACAAAACAACACGCCCGATGCTCTGACCGACAAAACGAGAAAGTAATTTATCTATGCAAAACGATAACTGTTACCGTTTGCGATCGATTGCCGGTTCGATAAGAGTGATGAAAGACCGACGCGCTGTTGTCATGTGTGTTTTAGATATTTAAATTAATGAAACTTAGTTACTGACTAGAAATTTTCATTTCAATAATGACTACCATAACGTTTACACCCTGCATACACAAAGATAAAATAAAATAACAAACACTACATTATAAATAAGACAAACAAAGGCAAAACATGGAGACTAGAAGGGCAAAAAAAGGAAATCTATGACAAAACCGAGAAGTCGTAAGACATAAATTAATGGATATCAAAGAAAGCTCTTGATGAAAGAAAACATTTCATCAACCCACTAAAATCGTCAATATCTAGAGCTCTTGTCTGATGAGGTAAGGTATTAAAAAGTATTCAAGCCACGGAAGTTAACGCCATTTCTGATTTTAGTGATTCTGTGATGTTTTACATATGTAGTAGTTTGACTTATTTCGAGTATTGTATGCACACATTTCTTGGTAGGTTGTATATGCGTGAGAGTTAATCAAGGCAAAGTCATGATCTTTAGTTTTATAGATCTTCTTCTCAGGGATATCTGTACTTCAGGCTTGCTGTGTACCTAACACACCTCCTCTGTGGAGCAAAAACTCATTTATATCATTCTA